CCGTTTTTCGACGTTTGCAGACTGTCGTACGTTTGTAGGATCACCTCGCTAGCATTAAACCGTATGGCTGTTCTTAAGTAAAGGAGTGCCATTCATTTTTAGTCTTTATTGACGAACAGGATCTAGTTACCGATCCGAGGAGGAAAGCAATGTCTGTTCGGTTCCCTACCGGCTTTGGTAATTAATGTGACCATGACGTGAATGACATACTAGTAGCTGGTATAAAATTATATGTAAACAACCCATACCAAATTAAATGTGATGCTGATCTGTCAACACAAAAATATATGGTCCATGAATTTAAAAATACAAAATCTTATATAAATATCCACTTAGCTAGCAAGTGTACGATAATAGTTCAATAATGTGAACCAAATAATTAATAATCATTATTTTTTTAATGATTATTTGTCATCTTTCAAATATTTATTTAAAAATCATGTGTCCTGTCAGATCTAAATTTTGTGTGGTGACTTCCTGATTTTGTTTACTTTACGAGGAATGTCTAGGAGGTATGATAAATATTGGTTGTATTTATTTGTGGAAGGTTACTGAAGTATTGTAGTCAAAATTATTGATTGTTTAATTATTTACCAGTTGGTAAGAGTTCTATAGGACCCATCGACCATAACTCGAATCCTAACCTTGCCCCTCCTGTCCCCCCTCGCCCAGTACACACCCCTCTCCCAGTACACACCCCTCTCCCAGTACACACCCCTCTTCTGGTTACTTAAAGTTATATGAAGGGGTATACTGAATTACATAGGGGGTGGAGTGTTAGGAGGAGGGTTCAGGTAGTGTTGAGAGGGCCATTAGAAACTCTTTCCATCAAAATAAATCATTTTTCAATGATCCAGTACACTGGAGTCAACAAAGTCAGATATATTATAAACTGTATAAACCTGAATATCTATACACTGAAATAGCAATTACTCATTGTATAAGTGTGTGTTTCGGTTTTTCTAATTTCTGTCTGATTGATGTGCAGAATGGAGGGAAATGCCCACCTTCTCAATCCAGTTGTCTTGTTTGGATTTAAATGAGACTTATTTGGAATTAAAACAGCTGTGTTTATAAGTGTAATATACAAGCATTAATTCATTAATTCAAAAAAGCTGCAGATAATTCTTTGTAGCAGGAAGTTTGAAAAGAGACACTGTACAGTGAAGAATCTTTTAATGTGGTACATATACTGTATTTACATCATCAGCTTGCTTCACTGTCCATTCAAACAATGCCATGGATTCTGTGGATGCTGCATGTGTATAATATAGATAGCTCCACTTTGATTTTTTTGCACCAGAATTTTAACAAAATATTTAATTATTGACCACTGTAATCTATAGGAATAGAATAACTTTTTAAATTTGTGTTATGATTACAGTTTACCAACCCAGAGCAGGCTGGATATGTTGGATTTGCTAATCTACCAAACCAGGTGCATAGAAAATCAGTTAAGAAAGGCTTTGAATTCACATTAATGGTAGTAGGTAAGTCAAGTTTACAAATATTATTCATGTTGTCAGCCCTTGACATTGACATTTCACTATAGGCCTATGATACTGGCCAATGCAAACATTTACCGGTAGTTGCATTGAACTGGAAAAAATTGTAAAATTTGGGGAAAATCATGGTTATGGTCGTTGAGTTTTCCGAACTGCGCATGCCTGCTTGATGTTAGGGTAGCTATTGTTTCTCGTCATTGTTGCTGGGCTTGTCATGATGTAGATCCAAATATGAAAAGTGTCTTTTTTTTGTGCAAAATAGTGATTAATGTAGTTAATTTAGCATTTGTAAATTTTCTCAAATATTTTACGCAAATTATTTTTAGGTTGGTGTCCTCATGAGGATAGGCAACTTTGCTTTTCAAAGTTTAGAGCAGTAACTTGTCACACTCTTGTAGTAAATGGTTATACGTGTATTGTCAATTGTTTGCACTATCTAAAAAAATTTTTTGTACAGTCTGCTTTGAAATGTTGATAATAATTGAAAAATCTAAAACTGCTGTATGATCCAAAAATCATGATAACTTTCAGTAACAATTTCACAGAATGTGAAAATATTTGGACCAAATCTTGGGTGGGAAAAATATCTGGAACTGAAAGGGTTGAACAGTAATATTTTTCACGTATTAACCAAGCAACCTTAAAAATGGAATGCTAATTTGATAGTGCACTAACTGATACTTTTCAGTTTCTGTGAGAAGAACAAAGCTGAGTTTGTTGGATGTATGATGAAAAACACAGAAGAAAAAGTCAACTGAAGAAAGTGTTTTTTGTTTCAGGTGAATCTGGTCTTGGCAAGTCTACATTGGTGAATAGTCTGTTTCTTACTGATCTCTACCCTGAGAGGCAGATCCCTGGAGCAGCAGGTAAGCAATGCTGTATTCTATAATTCTGCCTCAATGTTATTACTGTATGTCAGTGTCACCATGACAACTCCCATGACTTGTGTAAATGACTGAGGTGTATATAAGGTCTATGATCCACTATACAATAAAAATAAATACAATTTTTTGTTTATGTGCATTTATATTAAAACAAATATGATATCATGAACCATCAGGGTTTTTCTAGAAAAAAAACTGCAAAAGGGGGAGCACTGCAATTTAGCGGTGCCACCAAGTGGGGGAGGTAGGGTTCTCCCTACCAGGGTGTGGAGTTTTTTATAAGTTAAAATGGAGCATTCTATGGCTTCCTTGGGGCCAAAATTACTATCAGACAGGTCACAGTTGAAGACTGTGGCCACATGTGATCCCTGGTTAATCAGAATTTCATGGTTGCCAGAGGATCTGCTCCCCAGGGTAAGGGGGCGCATGGCTATGGCATGAGGGCGCTGCATCCCTGTTCCCTTGTTTGAAAAAATCCCTGACCATGATTGTCACTCTGATTAAAATCCAATTCTGGAGGAACCAGTAGCTATTTATTTTGTTTGGCTGCTTTCAACATCTCTAAGCCTATCTAACCATCTACATTATACTTATATGCAAGAATTGTTCTGATCATGCAGGAACAGCAATCAACCAGAACCGTGTTTCAGGCCACTTTCTAGTAAAACATGTCAGTACATACTGTTTGTCAGACAAAGCTGAAGGTGAATAGAATTAAAAGCAATTGAAGCCAGTTGTATTGTAATCTGCTGGATAGTAATTGCTGTAAACCATTTATTTAAGAATTGTTGCGATTTACTGTAGACGCATTGAGTTTCGTACGCCGTAGCAGCAAATATCATCAGCTAATTAGCTGACAATGCATTGAATGCAACTGTGTTACAACGATCTACTGGCCCCCTAAAAACAATGCTTGCATCACAACAGTATTATCAGCCAATTAGCTGATGATATTACTGACAAGGCATTCATGTAGACAGTCAGCTGACTGCGTGATTTAGGGCAAAATTTTGCTGTAACTAACCGCCACAAAACTTCATGATTTTCACAGAAATTTGTGAATATTTCTCACAAACTTAGAATGGTTACATGACTATCTATTCTTTGCGAAAAAAAAAGTGATAACAGTAGTACATGTATAACAAGAGACAGTTACAGATTTTTTTCTGAATGTATATAATGTGAGAATTCTTTTTATGTACAATAAATAATGTATAAGGCGTGACGTGGGAGTGGGAGTGGGGGAGTGTGGGAGTGGGAGCATTTTGTCCCTATTAGATACCTGGCATGGTTTTATAAGCTAGAATTTGCTAGCTTGAACATGGTGATGTAAGTGATCAGGGAACTGTTCTAATAAAATCTCTTTAAAATGATCTGAATAAATTGAATGATAATTGGCTCTTATGGGTCTTGTTTTACATGAGTGATAAGCCCCTGAGAGTACATTACATCACAGTAGGTATGTCTGATAATTCTATTTATTGGCTTGAACTAAGGCTTGTAAAATGTATTATGCTGTGCTAATTGCTACTGTTCAGTATGAGTCAGTCAAGTCTTTCCTGTCTTTCTATACAGTAATTAAGACTTCCATTATAAATGAATTTAGTGTTTCAGCTTTTGGCAAATAGGTCAGTCACACAAAATTTATGTTGGTGGTCTCCTCCAGACAGACATAAAAAAAAATCCTAAGTAGATAACAAAAAAAAAAAAAAAAAAAAAAGATAACAAATTCGCTATAGAAGAACATATGAACAAAAATTGCATTTGATATACCAGTATTCTAATTTATTTTCAGAAACACCTCTGTAATTTACATATATGCTAATAATAGAGGAATTACAGTATTCTTGCTTTCAGTCCTCCAAACACTTTTTTGTCGATGAAACAGCACCTTTGACTTGTAAAAAACAAAACATTGCTTTTAACTGTAGTCAACTCAAGATTGTAATCAGGAACTGCATTAGCATTTTCATACAGTGCTGATAAGAAATTGCAGAGATAATTTATTCTGTGTATCTTTATTACAAATTAGACCCTTTATTATACTAAAATATTTATGTGTCCCTCTAATATTGGGGGACCTAGAGGCAGAATTTGGCAGTAACACATTCTCTAGAAATAAGAGACATAGTTATCAGACCTGAAAAAAAATTGAATAATTGTGAAAATGTTTGTGGGTTCCTGAAATTTGTTGGTTTATTTGTATTTAGAATATAAACCATACAAGGTCTGAAGTGTATTGATATTTCTCTATGGTTGTATTGAAAATAATAACTGTAATATATTTAGCTCTTTTATCACATTGATTGGCCTATTCCTTGCCTCTGGGGGAAACACCTGCTTTATATTTCAATTCTAGTTTACCATGCATCTATGTGGGTTATATATTATCATGCTGTTTCCTGTATTATAATGCAGTATGCCTGTATTTAAGGTTCATGGCATTTTTAGCTCCACTGTCGACTTTGTCGAGCGGAGCTTATCATATGAGTGATTGTCTGTCGTCTGTTGTCCGTGTCAATGTTTTACTTTTTCGACTTCTTCTTGAAAACTACAAGCCTGAATGCTTTGATACTTGGTGTATATGTACCTTGGGTAGACCTCTCTCAGATTTGTTCATTTCATGATCGTATTTTTAATTATCTAATTTTGGTGAATATTTTTGTCATTTTTGGTAAAAAGTGATATTTTCGACTTCTTGTTAAAAACCGCAAGTCCAATTGCTTTGATATTACATATATAGGTACTACATGTGGACCACTCTCAAATTTGTTCATTTTGTAATGATATCTTCAATTCTCTAATTATGGTGAATATTTTTGTAATTTTTCGTAAAAAATGATATTTTCAACTTCTTGTTAAAAACCGCAAGTCCAATTGCTTTGATATTACATATATAGGTACTACATGTGGACCACTCTCAAATTTGTTCATTTCATGATGATATCTTTAATTTTCTAATTTTGGTGAATATTTTTGTTATTTTTGGTAAAAAGTGATATTTTCAACTTCTTGTTAAAAACTGCAAGTCCAATTGCTTTGATATTACATATATAGGTACTACATGTGGACCACTCGCAAATTTGTTCATTTCATGATGATATCTTCAATTCTCTAATTTTGATGAATATTTTTGTCATTTTTGGTAAAAAGTGATATTTTTGAATTCTTGTTGAAAACCGCAAGTCCCATTGCATTGATATTACATATATAGGTACTACATGTGGACCACTCTCAGATTTGTTCATTTTCTAATGATATCTTCTGTTCTTTAATTGAAATGTGCATTGCAAAAAGCGGAGCTATCTCAGCCGAGAGGCTGCTTGTCTAGAATATTTATAGTAAAATTAGGACTTCAACAAAAGTCAAATCCGAAGTATACGTATATTGTACGGTAGATGTAGAATGCAAAGATTAGTCTCAGCTGTCAGCTTTTCTGACATTAGGTTTACTTACATTGGGGAGGCAAAAGCAAGTAAACAACTAAAAACAGCAATGTCCCATGTTACAGTCCCAGGGATTTTTAAGTGTCTACTTATTATTCTGCAGCAAACTGGTAAAAATAGTTTGAAGATACTCCTTGCCTGTTCTACTTTAGTGTATCTGCTTTTCATGACACACTAGTAATTCTGTTGTGCGTTGTGAAACTAATTTTTGAAATTACAATGATTATGCAAAACTTTGGATTTTTCGTCAAATACAAAAAGCATAACCTCATTTTCAGTCTATTTGTAAAAATATAATTGAATAAAATGTACTGATTCATTCACCACTGTGTTTAATTTGTTTTATGTGAGAACCTGCATCAAATTAAATTTGTGGGTGACTCACAGTCCAAGGGAGGACATGTACTGATCTCCAATTTATTTATAATTATTGTTACACATTTCTGTCGGTAACCATTGAACAATGTAGGTAATCAGTAATATTTCATAACTCCCCATTGATTTGACACACTACCTGCTGACAGTTTTTCTCCATGATTCACTTTGGTTATCGATGGATGCTTTCAGGAAGTGATGTGTTAATACACTATGTGTTGAACTTAAATGTATCTTTTCTGTCGGTAACTGTTCTTGATTTAAAAAAAAAAATATAGAAAAAAATTGGTTTTGGTTTGGTTTTGTGGAATGTATTCAAAGGAGTTCAATTTCCAAAGGGATGTCATTGTTAGAATAGTTAAACTAATTCTCACTACCTTATAATAGCAGAAATTACAAAACTCCATAATTGTGTTGTCTAATCTAATCAAATCAACTCACATGGTTTGGTTTGGTTTTGGTTTTGTGGAATGTATTCAAAGGAGTTCAATTTCCAAAGGGATGTCATTGTTAGAATAGTTAAACAAATTCTCACTACCTTATAATAGCAGAAATTACAAAATCCCATAATTGTGTTGTCTAATCTAATCAAATCAAATCACATTACATAATCTTAATGTGTTGTGCATATGTTGTATATGTAATTACTTGCAATTATGCTATTATAAAAAATCATTTGACTAATGCTGCATCTTGCATTACATTCCTGCATTGCCTGGAAAAAATATTGATTTTACATATTTGCTATTTATTGTTTTGTTGTAGAAAAAATTGATAAGACCGTTACCATTGATGCTTCAACCGTGGAAATTGAAGAACGTGGAGTGAAGTTACGACTGACTGTAGTAGACACCCCAGGCTATGGTGATGCTATTAATAACTCAGATTGGTAAATACACAATTTTATAAATTAGATTTATATTTGAAATAAAAGAAAGACATCTTTATTCACACCTACATGTACATGTATAATCTGTTTTAGCGGATGTACTAGCTGTTGACATTTATACATGTACACGTATAATCTGTTTTAGCGGATGTACTAGCTGGTGACATTTATACATGTACACGTATAATCTGTTTTAGCGGATGTACTAACTGTTGACATTTATACATGTACACGTATAATCTGTTTTAGCGGATGTACTAGCTGGTGACATTTATACATGTACACGTATAATCTGTTTTAGCGGATGTACTAACTGTTGACATTTATACATGTACACGTATAATCTGTTTTAGCGGATGTACTAGCTGGTGACATTTATACATGGACACGTATAATCTGTTATAGCGGATGTACTAACTGTTGACATTTATACATGTACACGTATAATCTGTTTTAGCGGATGTACTAGCTGGTGACATTTATACATGTACACGTATAATCTGTTTTAGCGGATGTACTAACTGTTGACATTTATACATGTACACGTATAATCTGTTATATTGGATGTACTAGCTGGTGATATTTATACATCAATACTTTCTGTCATTGGAAAGCTGCTCTTTCATAATAAACCCTTGAGGGCGCTATGGCAATGAGATTTCTTGCTGCATGAAAGTTGTGGTACACTGTCTGAATTTCATATAATCAAAACAATTTATTTTTCACATGGTATACATGTATGTCACATGTGTTTTTCTCGCTTGTTTTAAGATGCTGCTGAATACTCTTTTTTCCCCTCTCCCACTCCCCATGGTGAATTTACAACTGACTCATTTTACATGTGTGAGGGTTTTTCCCCTCTCCCACTCCCAATGGTGAATTTACAACTGACTCACTTTACATGTGTGAGGGTTTTTCCCCTCTCCCACTCCCCATGGTGAATTTACAACTGACTCACTTTACATGTGAGGGTTTTTCCCCTCTCCCACTCCCCATGGTGAATTTACAACTGACTCACTTTACATGTATGAGGGTTTTTCCCTCTCCCACTCCCCATGGTGAATTTACAACTGACTAACTTCTCATTTCAGTTTCAAGCCAATAATTAAATACATAGATGAACAGTATGAGAGATATCTACAAGATGAAAGTGGTTTGAATAGACGTAATATTGTTGATAACCGAGTTCATTGTTGTTTCTATTTTATTTCACCGACTGGACACGGGTAAGTCTCATTCCAAATTAATATACCATGTCAGTCATCGCAGTTGTTAACAATTTTCTTGTGTTTGCAATACTCAAGTAATGTTTGGTACAATCTTGCTCTCATGATTTTTGACTCCCGCGTGCGAAGCACAAAAGGGAGTCTTTGCAGTTACCCTGTCTGTATGTATGTATGTATGTATGTCTGTATGTATGTCTGTATGTATGTATGTATGTACGTACTTATCACGTAATTTCAACATATCATTATTTTTCGCACATTTCAGTCTCGCTTTATTCATTCGCATTTACCTTATATATACATTCGTTTATCAGTAACTTTCACAATTGTAATCGACATCACTTCACTCGTTAATTATTATTCGATTTAATATTAGTTTAATTGTTCCTTTTCCCTCACCTACGTGTGAGTTTTTAAACTGTAAATAATTGTTACTTTTAATACTTGAGTAATAAAAAAGAGAAATGTATGTATGTATGTATGTATGTATGTATGTCACTTTTTTGTTCCACCGTTATCTCAGAACCACTAATCAAATTTTGGTGAAACTTGGTACATAGATGCTCTGGGATAATGCGCAGAGTTGATTAGTTTGGGTAAAA